GTCTGTGGATACTGTGTACTGCTTATGCTCACCTTTGGTCTGCGTCTTCTCAAGCTGTCTGGGTGCTGGTTGGTGCTGTGGGAGCCCTACTGGTTTCTCCATTTGACATGAAGTGGAGATGCTGGTGGGTAGGGGTGTGGAGGAGTCAAAGTTTTGCCTCTTCTTAGTGTTTTTCCTATAATTGTATCTCCAGCATCTCTCCAAGATTTACTTTAGGAAGCATGCTTTCTGCTTCCTCCCTCTAGCTGCCATCTTGGAATCTCCCATTGTTAACTCTAACACATATACTTCTAAAATGCTGTCAACTTTCTTTTTCTTTTAAAAAAAATTCAGTACATTACTTTATTATTTATTTTTATTGTTGTGCTGGGTGGGGTACATGTAGTATTTACAAAAGTTCATACATATATCCAAAATATATCATACTGGAATTCACCCTCTCCATCTTTCTCCTTCAACTTCCACCCCATATCCTGGAAAGTTTCAACAGATATAATTTTTCCATTATGTTTGTGTACACAGTATTTGCATCATGTGCACCCTCCTTCACCATTTCCTGACCTCCTCTTCCCTCACCGTACCAACTTCCCCCCCAGGCAGGAACTGTTCTGCCCTCTGTTCTTTGTACAAGAAAAAGAAGAAAAAAATGATGTTTTTGTGTTTAAGATAGCTACACAGGGAGTTTCCTTGTGGCACTTCCCTGTATATATGTATTATAGCTTGATTTGGTTCATCTCCTCTATTTTTTTTCTATCTTAGTTCCTTATGTAATTTCAAATGGTTTAAAAATTCTAATTCATTTTTTGTGTAGAGTATATCAACCATATTCACTTCTTTACTTCCTTCTTCTCCTTAATTTCCCTCCTTCCCCTCTCGTATGTGACCTCCCCTTAGTGTGGCCTGTTTTTCATAGTTTTGCTATTTTGTATTAGGTCTATATTCCCCATATGAAAGAAAACTTGGCTTTTGGCCTTCTAACCTAGTTAACTTCTCTTAAGATGATGTTTCCAGTTCCATCCATTACCTGCAAATGACAAAATTTCATTCTTCTTTGTGGCTGAATATAAATAACATATTTTCTTTAATACATTCTCAGTAGAGGGCATCTGGCTGTTTCTATAGCTCAGTTATTGTGAATAATGCTGCAATAAATGTGGATATGCAGGTGCCATTGTTGTAACTTAACTTCTATTCTTTTGGTAGATCCTTGGAATGGAATTTCTGGATCATATGGCAGTTTATTTTAGTTTTTTTGAGGTGCCTCCATATTGTTTCTCATAGTGGTTGTGCTAATTACATTCCCACCAACAGTGTGTGAGGGTTCTTTTCCCCCCAAATCCTTGTCAACAATTGTTGTTTTTTGTGTTCTTGATGGTAACCATTCTAACAGCAGTGAGGGGAATCTTAGTGTTTGATTTGCATTTGCCTTTAGGAAGGCAGATGTTGAGCATTTCTTCAGGTGTTTTTTTTAGCCATTTGTACTTCTTCCTTTGAAAAAAGTTCTGATCAAGTATTTTGCCCATTTCTTCATGGATCATTGATTTTCTTGGAGTTTAATTTTCTGAGCTACCTCAACCTTTGGTTACCAATCCCTTGTAGATGTATAGCTGGCAAAGATTTTCCCATTCAGCGGGTGGCCTCTTTCATTTAAGACCATTTATTTTGTTGTGCAAAGCTTTTAATTTCATGTAAGTCCATTTGTCAATCCTTTCTCTTAGTTGCTGAGCCATTTGTTCTACTGAGGAAGTCATTGCCTATGCCTATTAATTCCAGTGTATTCCCTGCTCTTTCCTGTACTAGCTTCAAAGTTTCAGGTCTTATATTAAGGTCCTTAATTCACTTTGAGTTGATCTTATACAGTGACAGACATGATCTAGTTTCAGTTTTCTTCAGGCAGATATCTAGTTTTCCCAGCAACATTTGTTGAAGAGGCTATCTTTTCTCCATTGTATGTTTTGGCACCTTTGTAAATATATCAGGTGGGGATAGCTGCATGGATTCATATCTGGGTCTATTCTGCTCCACTGGTCTTCATATCTATTTTGTGCCAGTACCATGCTTTGTATTGCTATGGCTTGTAGTATATTTTGAAGTGGTATTGTGATACCTTCAGCATTGCTCTTTTTGTACACTATTGCCTTGGTTATTCACAGTCTTTTGGGTTTCCAAATGAACTTTTAGGGTTGATTTTTCAATCTCTGTGATGAATGTCATTGGAATTTTGATGGGAATTGCATTAAACATGTAGATTGCTTTTGGTAGTACAGCTTTTTTTTTTTACTATGTTGATTCTATCAATCCATGAGCATGGAGATTGTTTCATTTTCTGTAGTCTTCGATTTTTTTTTCTACAATGGTCTATAATTTTCCTTGTAGAGGTCTTTCACATCCTTTGTTAAGTTTATGCTAGATATTATTTTTTTGAGGCTATTGGAAATGGAATTATTTCTATATTTTTTCTGTCTGTTCATTGTTGATGTATGGAAATGCTACTGATTTTAGTATATTGATTTTGTATCCTGCTATTTTGCTGAAGCTGTTAATGGGTCTAGGAGTTTTTGGGTGGAGTTTCTTGGGTCTTTTAGGTATAAGATCTTGTTCATCTGCAAACAGGAATAATTTGTATTCCTTTCCAATTTTTATTCCTTTTATTTCTTTTTCCTGTCTTATTGCTCTGGTTAGTAATTCCAAGACTATGTTGAACAGGAATGGAGAGAATGGACACCCTTACTTTCTCCTGACTTTAGAGAAATAAGCCTCAGTTTCTCCCCATTTAGTATGATGTTGACTGTAGGCTTGTCATATATAACCTTTATTTATGTGTTGGTACATTTCTTCTATTGTTTCATCAGAGTTTTTATCATGAAGTGTGATGATTGAACTTTTTTGTAGGGCTTTTCTGCATCTATGAAGTGATCATGTGGTTTTTGTCTTTGGCTTTCTATTAATGTGTTGTATCACATTTATAGATTTGCATATACTGAACCATCCCTGCATCCCTGGATGAAACAGACTTGAATGGGTATTTCTTTTTGCTATGCTTCAACTTTCTTCTTTATTTACACACTATCTCTGTCAATGTCACACCCTTCAGGAGGGAGACTATTGATCAAAACAGTCCAGGACGGTTGCTGAAGGAGAATAGCAGATATATCATATTAAATCTCCCTCATTCTTCTAAGACCCAATACTATGTAAAAATTTTTCTTATTCAGCCCATTTCCATACACTAAAGTACTGACAGTGATTTTGCAGCAGTACATTCTTGAGTATGGAACACAACTTAAAAAGTATTCTTCATAGCAACTAATGATGCAAAATCTTCTATTTTTGTTGGTAACAGTCTGAGTAAATTTCCAATCCCAGAGAGACACAAGAAATTATCTATACTCTTAACAAATGTATGTTTTTGACTGATTGTATGGAGCAAGATTCACTCTAAAGAGTCTGATGATTTTATTGTCCCATTTTTCCTCCTCCATCATGGGTTCTGGAGTTCCCTGGTGATGGCTCTGCTGGTCTCTGATCAGGCTGATCCCTCCATAACTGAAGCAGGAGACTCACCAGGTAAGAACAGAGCTAATTTTTTTTGGTGTGCATGCTAGAATTGCCTAGGGGAGGATGCCTTTCCCTATAGGTCCAAGCCACAGAACTGAGTGAAATAGTTTCTGGCTTCAAAGAGCATCAACTGTTCTTCCCATTACTAGAAAAGTCCTCTTTCTCTCTTTCCCACACACAGTGGACTGCCTGGGAAAAAGACTTCTTGTATCAGGAAGAATAGCGGAGTAGAAGAAGAGAAAACATTTTGTGGTAGATACCTATTACATTAATATTGGTCACAAGAACTGTAAAATATGGAGCAGTTGTAGAATAGTTGCCACCTCCTACACCAAGAATATTCTGATGGTATGACTATTTGTATGCTATCTAATGGGGTTATGGGACAAATGAAATTGGAAAACAATTTCTTCTTAACAATTGTCATTTAAAGCACTTGTATAGCTTAGAATTGTAGTAAGCCATTAAGTAAGAGAAGTGAATACACTTAAATTTCCTTGTTTCTGTCTTACTAGTACAATCATTTCACTGTTGCTTTTCTACTGGAGGACAGGCTCTGCAGACATGAAGCACTGTCAGACCATGAAAGCAATATTTTTGAGCAGAAAACAGGAGCAGTTGTGCTAAAACAGAACCCCTTAAATGTCAGTTTCATTAACACAAAAGAGGAACAAAACTGGGAAGATTAAATTATCATTGGTCTTAGAGAATGGAAATCACCTCTGAGTTTATTAATGTCTATTAAAAACAAAGTTAAAAAATCAGAACAGTTTTTATATGATGGACAATTCTGTTTTTTCTTATTTAGACTGTAAAAGGAAATAGAGAAGGCATATAAATGCTAGGAATTGGAGGTTGGAGCTTCACCTGAAGTCAGTCACAGAGAGGGATGAGCCTGGTTCGCCAGGAAGTTCATTCTTATGCTCAGGTCAGGGCTCCTTACAAAAGGCCTCTGAACTTAGAAATGAAAGCAAATTCACAACTCAAGAATCAATAGCAATTATTCTTTAAGTTTAATTATTCTTAAGTTTCTTTGGGAAGTCTTCCCTGACTTGCCTATATTATTAACCTCATTGAAATTTCCTTTTATTGTTATTGTTCTCAAGCACATAGACTGTGTTAATCTTATTACATGAGTTCATGCATATTAATCACTAATCAGTACAAGGCCTTCTCTCCTCTCCTCTCTTGTCCTCTATTCTCCTCTCTCTATCATTCTAAGTGTGTCTGCTGTGTCTAAGCATGTAACATTGTTTTCTGTACATATTTTAAAAAGTTAAAAATGTCATTTGTATTGAATCACATTCTATTTTTTTCCCTCAATGCTATACTTTTTTGAGCATACTGAGTCAAAGGATGCTTCAAATCCATGGAGTCTGACATAATACTAGAAGGATTCCCTGGAGTTGAGCTAGATCATGCTCTTTTATTTGGTTTTCCAGAAGATTTTGTGATTCAGGCAAAGGCTGACTGTTACTTCACCAATGGGACAGAGAAGGTACAGTTTGTGGTCAGATTCATCTTCAACTTGGAGGAGTATGTCCATTTTGACAGCGATGTGGGGATGTTTGTGGCCTTGACAGAGCTGGGGGAGCCTGATGCTGATCAGTGGAACAATCGGCCAGATATCCTGGAGAGGAGTAGAGCATCTGTGGATATGGTGTGCAGACACAACTACAAGCTGGGGGCTCCCTTCACTGTGGGGAGAAAAGGTGAGGTGGAAAGTGGGGGTCTAGTGTGGCTCAGGAACTTGCTCTATTAGAACCTGACCATGGGTTTTCTTTCTTGTGAATGGCAAACTTCTGTTTCAGGATAAATGAGTTATGAATAGGAGAGGCTGTGTATATCTTCTTTCCTCAACTGTGACTCACTCATTATCTTCACAGGTCAGAGCACTGGTCTTGGTCCTAGACCTTCAATGTTCTCAGAGGCTTTTAGGACTAATGCATTCTTGACTAGAATGGGTGGTTATGGGAAAACCTTATAAAGTCTGAATCCTCCTTTGGGGGCATTGAAAGACCTGTTTCTTAGCCTTGGGGGCTTAGATTTCTCTATACTTCCAGTTTCCAATTAGGTGATCTTGGAAAGAGATTAGAGGTGATGATAATTCCCAAAGAAACTCCCACCTTGCCCTGGTTTGGTGGTTTTCTTTCACAATGTCTCATTTCTCTCTTTCTTACTAGTGCAACCAGAGGTGACAGTTTATCCAGAAAGGACCCCACTCCTGCAGCAGCCCAATTTGCTACTCTGCTCAGTGACAGGATTCTACCCAGGGGATATAAAGATCAGGTGGTTCCGGAATGAACAGGAGCAGAAAGCTGGGGTCATATCCACTGGCCTTATTAGGAATGGAGACTGGACCTTTCAGATTACAGTGATGCTGGAAATGATCCCTAAACTTGGAGATGTCTACAGCTGCCTTGTTGAGCATCCCAGCCTGTGGAACCCCATTTCTGTTGAGTGGAGTGAGCATTAGTTTCTTGTACTCTCAAGGCCTGCCTCATGATCACACCAACTCGTTATGGGGTCTGTGTCACCTGTGCATTCATCTTGGTCGCAATATAATTTTTTCCCCTTGATCTGAGAGAGTCACAGAGTTCAGAGTCCTTGAGTTAGGGTGGGAGAAAATAGAGCAGATATTTATCCCCACATCTTCCAAGAGACAAGGAAGGCTGGTCACCTCATTATTTGCCTCCAATCATTGCAACCAGTATCCTTTAATACTTTAGCCTTAGTATTTAGGGGGTACTATAATGAATATAAGAACAAGTAACAAATGGGAGGCAACTCCACAAGTGCAAACATTGGTCTCCAAGAACCATTTCTAAATTTATTTCTTCACTGTTTGTATTTGGTAACCAGTATAAGCCTTAGGATTTCAAGATGTGTCAAATATTGGGAGTTTTGTATTAACGTAGGACTGTTTTCCATAGGTGCCCAGTCTGAATATTCTTGGAGAAAGATGCTAAGTGGAGTTGCAGCCTTCCTGATTGGACTAATCTTTCTTGTGGTGGGAATCTTCATCCACCTCAGGGCTTGGAAAGGTAATAAGCAGGAGAATCATCCACCTGCCCTGGGACTCCCCACCCCACCCTGTCCACCTGTCTAACTTTTCCTATATCAAAGTCTGAGGCAGGGAAAGCTGATAGTACTTCTCAGGGATCATTTGAACAGTCTTTTCTGAAGCCTGAAATATTCAGGGTAAACAGAGACATGAGTTCTGAAACTGCAGGCCATCCTCTGTCTCTCAGAAAAATCACAATATTTGATCCTAATTGGAGCATTCCATTCTCTCTCTGTCTAGGATCTGTGGAGGCTCAGTCTGGTAATGAGGTAATGTCTCCTATACCTTGTCTTTGGCAAATCATTTTCCCAGTTCTTTGGCTAGAGGGAGATACAATGGGTAAAGGAGGCAGAGGGGTGCCTCTGGCTTGGTGGTATTGTCTGAGTCCCTGGAATGGGAGGGTGGGGTTGCCTCATGAGACCCTTATCACTGTTTCTGCAGGTCTCAAGAGCTCTTCTCCCACCACAGCCCTACTAAGGTCCTAATCCAACCTTCTCCCCCGGAGCCTGAAATAGTGTGGACAGGTTGAACCTTGGGCTAGGTAAATGACTTTGGAGGAGTTGCTGTTCTGGGAACAACTCTTTTCCGTGATCCTAGAGTTTTGTGCTCTGAGATTATGCATCTCCCACCTTTTCTCTTCCTACTTGTGTACTTCAAAACTCCCCATTTCCAAGGACACTGTCCAGAATTTTTCCTAAGACCTAGTTCTTCTAGCCCCAAGCTGTTTATGTTACTATGGCCCAGCCCGAACTCTGTAAGTCATGATTCCCAAATCTTTCTCTTTTCCAATTGCAGCTTCCACAGTCTTCAGAAGGTAAATGCTCAGTCACTATCTCCTTTTCACATTTTTTTTTTGGTGGTACTGGGGTTTGAATTCAGTGCCTCTTGCTTGCTAGGTAGGTGCCATACTGTTTGAGCCATACCTCCAGCCATTCACTTTTTTTTGTTTTAATCCTGTTTATTGTAAAATAAAACAGAGATACAGTTGACCACACAGAATGTGTAACTTAATGAATTATTTAAGGCAAAACCCCTGCAATCACCACTCAGGTCAAGAAACAGAACTTTGGCAGCCACCGCCCAAGTCTCCCTGTGCCTGAAGTCAATGGAACCCTTCCCTCCTGTCAAAAGTAAGCACACCCTACATTTATGGGGATCCTTTACCTGTACTTATTTATGGTTAACACACTTGTATGCATCCCTGGATGCCAAGATTAATTGTCTTTTATGTCTCCTAGACTCCATAGTGTTCACCCCAGCCTTTTCTTTCCTTTGTGATTAGTCTGTTGAGAAGCAGGAATCATTTGATCCAAAGCATTTCCCACATTTTGAACTCTGCTTGCTGCACAGTTTGAGTCTTTGTCCTCTGTGCCTCTTGGAAATTAGCATCTGGTACAAGGGCTGGATCAGGCTCTGGTTTGTGGCCATGTGGTCTTTCACCTGACTACACATACTGTGCAATTGTTTCTCCTTTTGTGATGTTAGCAACCGTTGATATGACTTGCTTAGGTCTGATAACTTATTGGAGATTGCAAAAAGGGGCTTTTCTACTTTAGAATTTCTCCTTCATTTATTTGTTGTGTATGATTTGCTCTTTTCACTCTGTTATTTGTACTAGGGGTACAAAATCTATGGTGAGTAAAACTGGTGGCGCCTTAGCACAAATCAAGGCAGTCATACCAAACTGTACAGCTGTCATCACATTGTTCGTGGTCATGCACCTACAGAAACAAAATGCCAGTTTCATGTGAGGAATGGTCTTGATAACCAATAAAAGTCACTAATTTTGTTAAATCTTGAACCTTGAGTACATGTCTTTTTAATAGTCATTGTGATAAAACAGGGAGCTTTTCTGTTGCATACAGATGGAAAGATTGTTGTGCTGTATGTTTGAGCCATGAGTGGAATTAACTCCTTTTTTTTTTCTTTTAATGGGCAATCATTTTTCCATAAAAGGTAACTGGAAGACATACTGGGCATTTGGTAGATATTTTCTCAAAATCAAACAAAATAAGCCTATCATTTTATGGAAAATTATATTGACAGTGAAAATTATGTTTTTAAGAAAAAATTAAAATTTTGAAAAAATCTTATGCCAAAGTTTCTTTGATGCGCTTGGTGGTGATATTAGAAAACGTGGTTTTTAAAACATTGTTTAATGAGATGCGACAATATTGTAAAAATGTGTGTAACTCCATGAACCAATGCTTTTCAAATGATCAATGTATGACATTGCAAAATTGTGCATGGAAAAAACTCATTCAAAGTGTAAGATAGGCCAGTTAATTTTATCATAGCAGAGTGTGAAAGTTCATTGATAAGATTTTAGATTTCATATTGCAACTAACCTGTGAAAATCTACAATTTGTTGAGTTTATTGTATTAACAGAGAAAAATATACATAATAGCTGAAAAGCTACTAGAATTCTCCTTCTCTTTTCAAGTACATGTCTGAATAAGGTCAAATTTTCTTCGTGTACTTCAACAGAAGATTCAATCTATAGTCTTTGTGTTGCAGATTGAACAGAAAAGAATATGTAATGAAGCTATCTTTATTAAGCCTTACATTACATACTTATTTTTTCTGCTGCCTCCTTGTGCCTCCTAGTGGTACTAGGGTTTTAACTCTGAGCCTTATGCTTGCTAGGCAGGCACTTTATCACTTGAATCACTTTTTTGTTTTAGCTGTTTTTCAGGTAGATCTCAGGTTTTTGCCTGGGGCTGGCCTCACACTGCAGTCCTATACCTGGGATCACAGAAGTGAATCACCATGCCTGGTTTGTTGATTGAGATGGGGTCTCACTAACTTTTTTTTGCCTGGGCTGGCATGGAACTGAAATCTTTCAGGTCTTCACTTTCTGAATAGCAGGGATTACAGGCAAGAGTTGCTAAATCCACTATGGCTGAGATTTTATTTAAAACATTTTTAATTCATCTTACTTTATTTTTTGATTTATCATACACTAGTAATATTAAGATGATTTGTGATAATTCCATACATGCATTCAGTGCACCTTGAACAAGTTCACCCCTCCATTATATTTCCACTCCCCCTTTTCCCTCTTTCACACGGTGTTTTGGGTTTCATTCTGCTGTCTTCACATGTATATATGCAACATACTTCCATCCTCT